GTGGAAAGCATACTTACCTCAAAGTGGAAAATTGCCATGAGAATTATGGTAGCACCTATATGTCCCAATCATGATTGGGACCTCATTCATGGTGGGTACTATATAGAAGTAGACATGGTCACAGACTTATAGGACACATTTGCTTCATTAACATTAATGTAAGTTATGTAAATGTCTTGAATGGAAAAAAATGCCTAAGCAAATGCTTCCCACCACAGCTTCTCTGTTTTCTTTGTTAATCACCATAGCACTCACAGGACCATCCAAAGGGCTACAAGATTTCACCCTTACAAACACAACAGACAATCTCTCTGTGTTTAAATATAATGTAGAACTTCTTTTCTATATGACTATATTATTTTAATGTATAGTGATGGGCTAACCCTTGTGATTATGAAACTAGGACTAACCTAGAAGAATAGCCATTTTTGTAAGTGTACCAACAGCTTGTACTAGAATAATATGAGAAAGTTTGTATTGTTTTTGCAAAATAAAATGCCCTAGAACTGCAGTTTGAATTATTTGGTTAAATGACATTCCATGCTTCTATGTTTTACCCTGTGATCTAATTGGCAAAACATAGCTATCTGAGTGAATTAGTGAAAGTATAGTGTGCTATACAACATCCAACATGATCCAACATCTGGGGAGATGTAATTTGGACTTTTCTGCTGATATTGTCTGCTTTGAATGCCAGGTGTCTATCGCCTGGGGTGGAGTCTTACTTTGGCAAAGTAAATCTATTACTAACTCTCCAAAGAATGGTGTATGATGCTGTTGCTAATGGAACTCTAATTTAGTGCCACAACTTCTTAGAATCTTTTAAAACATGTAGTTACACTTGCCATCATTTTAGGACATCTAGACCTACCAAATGTGAGAAGTCATCTATGCTTTTTGCCAATAGAACTGAGATGATGAAAGCTTTGTTTCCCCTTGGGTAATATCCACTATTGGTAGCACAATTGTCTTCTCTTTAGTCATTGTCTTTTTTGTTAAGGCTGGACCATGTTACTCCTGTAATGCTTGCCAAAATTCTATGGCGTATTTGTCGTTTGAGGCTCACCATATGTGTCTTTGATTCCTGCCTAGTAGGCACTTTGGCTGCTTTCCAGTTTGGCACTTACTATTATCAGTGGTATGAATAGCTCCCTTGCTTCTGATTCTGCCCTTGCTGTCCTGTCATCAAATCACTCTTCAAGCAACCATTTTTTAATTCTTTTTTTTTAAATGCAAAGGTGCTTGTAAACTATCAACCTGTTTTTACTATGCCTTTCTTGGCCAATGTCTTTCACCACAGAGTGGAAAATCCAACAGTTTGATCATTCCACTATGTCTTGCATTAAGAGAGTAAGCAATAGAGCCTTGTGTGGGACTAGCGTAGAATCCTGCAGCGGGACTGAGATCCTGCGGGTCCCACAGGACCTATTGCCATAATAGCAGAAGGAGGTGGGAGTGGGAGTGGGTACTGTGGGTCAGGATGGTAGCGGGATTAAAAATAGTCCTGCATAGGGCTCTACTAAGCAGTATAGAAACATCACTTCTTAGAGTAGTTTATGAAGTCTTGCTGTACATTATACAAACAGACATGACAGACATGCTCTTCCCATTTTGTTGAATTGCAGCATCACTTGCTATAAGGTTTTTTTAAAGGCATTCCTTTTAATAAACATTTTAAAACCTTTGACCAGAATACAGTGTGCCAATTACATGATAGATTACGATATACAGTTTAACAAACAGATTGAAAGCCAAAAGTCAGTCATATGTAATACATGCTCTCTATTCTGATGTATCATTAAACATATCTGAGTACTTCCATGTGTTCTGGTAAATTACGATTATTGCAAAATGTAATTATCAAGCAAAATATACAGAATAAAAATAAGGAACAGCACAGGGGTCATAAAGGACCCAATCATGAGAAGACCATGTGCAGCCATTCAGGGGTGTGCAAGAAGCCTCCATGACCCCATGCATGGCTCTGTAGGAGCCTCTAACCACAAGTCTCTGGACTTCTCCTCACCATGGGGAGAAGAACACTGAAAAAGCAGGAAGAGTCATGGCCCTATCTTTCTCCATGCTAGGCCAAGGAGTGGGGTTGGCTTCCTGAGATGGAACAAAATATTTTAGCCCCTATATGCAAGGAACAACACCAGGAGAGAACCTCACTGATGTTACTGCTCAAGCCTGTGGCATAATGGCCAGGATTTAGTTCATACTATTTTATTTCCACAGGTTCATATGTGTGTATAGTGTTAAACAGATAACTAAAGCCTCTTTCCCAAGAAAGAGGAATCTCTGGCCCAATTCTGCATCTCTTATTCATGTAAGTAGTTCTTTTGGCTTTGAGACTACTCATGTAATATTTGAGTGAGAGCTGCAGGTTTGGGCCCTATATTGGGAAGGGATAACAAAGATTAGAAAGCTGTAGGGAGGATGAGAGGTACAACAATAAAAGATTGAGAAATACTTTGTTATACAATAATCAGATTCACTACATTTGTGTGATTCCATTTCTAATATAGCATTGCCATATTTACAGTCTCTGCCCCCACAAAACTTGGGTGTGTGATAAGGATGCTCCTTTTTAAACTTCAGTGTCACCCTGATGAAGAAGCATAAAGATGGTATAAGCCAGCAATTGTCCATTCACAGTAGAATCAGCCTGAAGGAACAGGACAAGGGTTAAAGCCATGCAATAGCATAGAAATTCAATGTGTGCTTTTTTTTTTGGTTCAGTTAAGTTTATATTTATTAAGGAGCCAAAATAAGAGTGAATATTCTTGACAGACACAGAAGTAGTAGAAGTAGTGTTTTTGGGAAGACGGGGAATTTAAATGAGGAGGAGGTAGCAGTTTGATGGATAAACTCCATGCATGGAAAATAATGGAAGAGATGTGTGTGGGAATAAAAGACACGTGTGGAAAAGATGAACAAATGGGGAAATGAGGCTGACATCACTGGCAGAAAGAAAGAAAATGTGAAAAGAGACTGGTCATATAAGCAGGAGAGGTAAGTACATACTATATATAAGTACTGTAATACTCTCACATGAAAGGTGCTAGATACTAGCTACATGAAAGGCAAGAGTGTGAAGGATAATTATTTCTGTCAGTGAAATACCTTCCTCTTCACATGTATCACAGAAACTAGAAAATTATGTTTTGTCACAAGGGAACCAAGAAGTAAGCATTCAGTTCTGCTCCCAATAAAGTCAATGAGCATTTTATCATTGACTTCATTGGCCCAAAATTACATACAGTAATTTGGATTGGATATTTAGAAAAAACACCAAATTCTCTGAAGTTGTGGAAATATAAGAAGTTTGAGTATAGATTTTTTCCCCCCAAGAAAGAGAAAGAGAGAAAATATACTAACTACCTAAAATGTTAATCAGTGGGGAAATACCCATGACACTTACTGTAGGTAGATGCACTTAGATTTAGAATTACAGAGATGATCATTAGCAATATTTTTAAAGCCCTTTTTCTAATTATATTTCTAAACAATTTTACTATTCAGCGCTTCCATTGTCACTAAGCAACTACAAGCTTCCAAAGTATACTATCATTTTCTATTTTTATCTTTTACAATGGCATTCAGAATTCATGAAAATATACACACCTGGGAAGTTTGGGATGCACAAAAAAATGCAGGATTGAGCCTTATAGCAGCAAATACTTTAAGTGCTTTAAAGTATTATGTGTATGAGCCCAAGACTTAAATTCAGACTTGGCTGTAAACCTGATATTCTTTTGCAGAAGATGACCTCTAGAGAGGTCAGTGAATTTAATAAGTGTCCAGTGACACCAAGGAAAGTGAATTAATTAGAAACAATCTCAAATGCATATGGTATTCCACTTGAGAAAGTGGCTTTGGAAAATTGGCTGAGCAGACCCTCCTGCTGAAGATGACAAAATATAACTTGCTGTTTTTGGGAAAGCTGTTAACATTTGAAAAATATTTCCTTCCATAGGTCTTGTATTACTGTTGCCCCAACAAATGAAAACAATAAATACAAAAGTTTTTTTTTAAATGCTTGTAAATGATTCACTGCCTTATTCAGAACCTTTCTTGTAGTTCTGTAATCCAAAACCAAAATACATATAATTTGGTTTTGCAGGGGAAAAACCCAACCCAAATCCAACCAGCACAATCCAACCAGTGTGTTGACTATTGAAGATGCATCTATGTATTAAAGTACGAACAACTTGTGCTAGTAGCTTCTTATTACAGTATCAGTTTTCTCCTTCTTTAGCTATATGTTCCTGCTCATCTACCAGTTCACCTGCTGTTGTATTGTACCTGGTCAAAGAAAATCTCCAGGTAATTTTTAAACTCTTATAATTAATTGTATAATTATAGCGTAGCTGGTTGCCCTGTTTCTACATATATCCTCCAGTGCCTAATTCCTGCGGTCCTTGGCACAGCCAAGTTCTCAGTGATCTCATTTGACATGTCGGGTGTGCAAGGAATGCAGACTTGGGCCCTGCCTAATCAGGTTCTCTGTTGTATTCTTATTATTACAGCTCTAGAGGCCTGGCCTAATATCTCACATGCCTGTTTCCATCCCTTGTTTCCATGCCTGATATGGAAGTGCGATGGGTCAGTCCCAAAAGTCCTAGCACTGAGCACCCCCAAAACTATCTGAAGGTAGCAGCTGGCTCCTACCTATCCAATGTGTTGACCTAAGGCCGCAGGGCTGTGAAGACCGGGGGCGGGGGCAGTTCCCGTGCGCAAGGATGGAAACGCTGGGTCTCCCTGCCTGAAGGCACAGGGGGACTCTAGGCGTGGGACGGTGTAGGCGGGCGGATTCCAGCTGTCCTAGGCTCCCAGGCAGCGTGAGCAGCAGGGGCGATGGCTAGAGCCGCCGGGGCGGCGGCGGCAGCAGCAGCTCCCCCCCACGCCGTGCTGCAGGGAGCGGCCCGGCTGGCCGGAGCCTGCTCCCTGGCGGCGCCGCGGCCACGCGCAGGAGGCTGTTGCCGCAGCCGCGTCGGGGGCGGGCGAGGCTGGGATGCAGGATTCCCCAGCTCTCCGCCAATCACACGCGCTCCTCAGGCCCGGGCTCCAGCCGCTGGCTGCGGCGGGCGCCGGGTCCGGCCGGGCTGCGGGCAGCGGCGTGGGGGGGATGCGCTGAGCTTGCGGCAGGCGCGGAAGGAGCGCCCCGGGGCCGGGCCATGGGCACGGTGCCGTCCGCGCTGAAGCACTGCCTCAGCTATCAGCACCTCCTCAAGGAGCAGCTCTGGATCGGGGAGCCGGCCGCGCCGCCGCCTGCTCTGCATCCTGGGCAGGTACCGCCACCAGCCGGGCCTGAGGCGGGCAGGGAGGGAAGGACTCGGGGCAGGTGGAGCTGCAGCATCCATGGGCTGCCGGGGCGCGTTCTCCAGCAGCAGCCCCCCTCCCTTCCCTGCCTGCTGCCCCCTCCCACCTGACAGCTGCCTCCTCCCACCCCCACTCCCCCGCCTGCAGCCCCCCCCCCAACACCCACCCATCTGCCTGCTGTCCTCTGGGCACTCCCCTACTGTCCCCACCCCCAGCCAGCTGCCATTACACCTGCTGCCCCCCACCCCCATCACCTTCTGATCACTCTCCTGCTGCCCTTCCCATCCCTCTCTAGTGGTCCCACCTATCCTACCTACTGCAGTCAGCCTGCAGCATTTCAACCCTCCCCCCTAACCAGAAGCAAAGTTTTAAGTAAAATAAAGAGGAAAATTAAATTCAATATATGAGACATTGAAGGCCTCTGTAAATATTATAAATATTAGTAGACCCAGACTACCTACCAGGGAAACACCTATAAGACTGTTTGATTGGTTGTTTATTATTGATTTGATATTTTAAACTACTGTTCTTCTATTAGCATCACTGCTAAGCATATGCAGTCTCCTTTCAGGGTGGTGGTGGCACTATACAGGGGAAAAAGACACAATCCATGAGGATTTTCTTTTTTATAAAAATCCCTCCCCTCCATTTATAGACTGCCCCAAAAGTGGAAGAATTCCTGTAAAACTGTAGGTGGAAGACATCTACCATGGCAGCCACTTTTGTGGGGCCACGCTACCAATATGCCCTTTCAGTTTTAGTTAGGTTTACCAACTTCGGCTGGATGAATTCCTGGAGGTTTCATCACTGACATTACCTTTAATTAAAGATTAAGCTTTAATTTCTGGAGACTCCAGGACAATCTTGGAGGGTTTGCAACCCTAGTTTTAGTTTCTATAGCTACATTTGTTCAGACTTGCATGTAAGCAGCTTACATCGACCAAACTCTGTAAGAATCTACACTAAAATGTAGCTCCCACCTTCGTAACTTGCCTACTACACTGACTTACTAACTCCACCTCCGCATGAGGTATAGCACTTAAGTCGATGTAGTTAGGTCGACGCAGTCATAGGTACTGACTTCCCCTTTTCCCGGTGGATGCTCAACCCACACCACGGCCCCACTCCTGCATTCCCCCGTCCTGCCCCGTTCCAGCCCTTCCCCAAAGTTCCTCCCCTTCCTGCCCCCATTGCATCCCCTTCCCCAAAGTCCCTGCCTTGCCTCTTCTCCGCCTCCTCCCCTGAATGCGCTGCTTTCCCGCTCCTCCCTGTCCCTCCTGGAAAGTCCTAAGTGCCATCAAACAGCTGTTAGGCGGTGGGGCGGCAGCAAGCTCTGGGAGGGAGGGTGAAGAGCGGGGACGTGGTGTGCTCAGGGTTGGAAGAAAGAGGTGAGGAGGGGGGAGCTTGGCTGCCGGTGGGTGCAGAGCACCCACTAATTTTTCCCCATGGGTGCTCCAGTCCTGAAGCACCCATGGAGTCGGCACCTATGGATGCAGTGTCAGTGTAGACACTGCATTGCTTACATCAACTGTTGCTGCCTTTCAGAAGCCATCCCACAGTGCCCCACACAGACAGTTAAATTGGTGCAAGTGCTCCTGGTGAGAATGTGCACCGCTGACACAAGGAGCATAGTGTGGACATGCAAAAGCAGTTTAATTACTGCGGTGGCTGTAACTCAACACAACTAATGTCAACCTAATTTTGTAGCGTAGACTTGCCCAAAATGGTGGCTGGAGTCCTGTATGAGCTGCTTTTCCTCACTACCACTTGCTAATGGGGGCTGGTAATTGGTCAGCATACAATTTGTGAAGGGATAGTCTGGTTTCATTCTACCTGCAGAGCTCTGTGATTGCCAGATATGTTTACATTGTTTGCCTTTTCCTCGAGTGCAGCATGCAGAAATGGATTAGGGCTTACCACTTGTTCCTAGAGTTGGAAACCAAAATTAACCAAAATGTTACTGATTTCTCCTTGAAGTGTAGGAGAGGTGACATGTGAGATCACAACAGCTCAGATCTAAAGTAGTCTGTAATTGAGAGTATTTATTTAGATTCTTTTTGGGATTTGTACATTTATTTATTTTAAGAAGAATTATAAAATAATGCTGTCAAAGCTATTACAAACACAGTAATTATTTTTGACAATTATTATACACAATAAATATATCATGCTTTGCATTCAGATTATTGGATCTGCTGAAAATTGCATAATAAACGTGTTTCCATGAGAGAGAAAAGAAGCCAGATGTCTTTGTCTTCATAGCACAAAGTTCTTTTTGTTCTTATGTATTTTTAAAGGCAACCATATTTCCAATTGTTTAATGAGTTCAATATTTTATAGAGGATATTAATTTCATAGGTCAAAGTTCTTCCATCTTATTTACCAGGTCTGAATTCCCAAAGCAGGCAGAACTTGCGTTGACTTCCAAGTTAATTTTGTCTACAGTAAAATTGAAGGATTGACCATTAAGAAACCTCGACCAGATTTGGGCTCCAACCCTGCAAGTCCCCCTGCACAGGTGGACTCTTGCACCTGTTTGAGTCCCTTTTGAAATCAATGGGGTATTGTGTCAGATTGGGGCCTTGGTTTGTTGCAGATTTCCAAGCACGATCATTTCTGCACAGTTTTAAAATAAATATAAAGCATAGGTGTACCTATAAAGGCATCAAACAATGTTAATACTTAGGTAAACCAAATAAAACCTTTACAATGGACTACCCTATAAACATTACAGTAAACAACATAACATTTAAAAATGAAATTGTAGCCCATTTCAAACTCAGATTAGGGTCCCATATCTTCTTAAATGTCTCTGAATGACTTCTGCATTGATAAGTGGAATAATTTCATTCATGCCTTTAACTCATCCTGAGACTCCAATACTACATTTTAGACTCCTTTTTATTTCAGTGGTAGTAAGGTTAGGCCAATGCTGAATGCTTTTGAAAATCGCACTCATACTACTTTCCTGGATAGGAATGGATTTAAGTACATGGTTAGGTGTTTTCTAGAATTGGGACCCAAGAAAAGAGAAGAGAAGGAGCTTTCTGCTTTATGCAAAGGAGGGGGGAGCTATGCTCCTCTCCACATTCCTTTACTTTAATCCCTCCTTATACAGGCAAAACTCCCCTAGAAGCCAATGAAACTTTGCCTGCATAATTTCATGCTCAAGCCAGTAGACAAAGCGTGATAGACTTTGTCATAAATGTAAAGGGAAGGGTAAACCCCTTTAAAATCCCTCCTGGCCAGAGGAAAAATCCTCTCACCTGTAAAGGGTTAAGAAGCTAAAGGTAACCTCGCTGGCACCTGACCAAAATGACCAATGAGGAGACAAGATACTTTCAAAAGCTGGGAGGAGGGAGAGAAACAAAAGGGTCTGTGTCTGTTGGTATGCTGCTTTGCCGGGGATAGAACAGGAATGGAGTCTTAGAACTTTTATTAAGTAATCTAGCTAGGTATGCGTTAGATTATGATTTCTTTAAATGGCTGAGAAAAGAATTGTGCTGAATAGAATGACTATTTCTGTCTGTGTGTCTTTTTTGTAACTTAAGGTTTTGCCTAGAGGGATTCTCTATGTTTTGAATCTAATTACCCTGTAAGATACCTAACATCCTGATTTTATAGGGGTGATTCCTTTATTCCTATTTACTTCTATTTCTATTAAAAGTCTTCTTGTAAGAAAACTGAATGCTTTTTCATTGTTCTCAGATCCAAGGGTTTGGGTCTGTGGTCACCTATGCAAATTGGTGAGAATTTTTACCAAACCTTTCCCAGGAAGTGGGGTGCAAGGGTTGGGAGGATTTCGGGGGGAAAGACGTGTCCAAACTACGTTTCCCAGTAAACCCAGTTAGAGTTTGGTGGTGGCAGTGGTTATTCCAAGGACAAAGGATAAAATTAATTTGTACCTTGGGGAAGTTTTAACCTAAGCTGGTAAAAGTAAGCTTAGGAGGTTTTCATGCAGGTCCCCACATCTGTACCCTAGAGTTCAGAGTAGGGGAGGAACCTTGACAGTCTTCATGCTGTGAAATAAGAGCATAATAATGTTGGTGGATGGGGTAAGGGTGGAGAGATAAAGAAGGAGAGAATAAGGCTTGGAAGAACCAAGGAACAAGGAGGCTGAAGATGCCAAACAGGATGTGGGATATTAAGAGCCTGATAATAAATTGCAAGGAAGTTTGTCTCAGTGGAGCCATCAACTTCACTCTTTTATGCTAGTTTGTTGGAAATAGAGGAAAGATAACTGAAACATTTTAGCAGTTACAGATTTATATTACATAGAGAGTATTAGCTGGCTTTAGGGCTATATAATATAGCTAGAAACACGAAAGAATTTTTTAGATATTGCTTTGTAAATTTGGGAATTAAAAAAACACATAGGAAATTTCTACTCAGACACTTCATCTGTTTTTTTGACGATATCCTGTCCTTTGATTTGTTGCACCTCCACCTCCCTCTAAGAGTACATGCAGGCAAAGTGATCTTCGTTTTCTCTCTTTCCAGCCCAAGGAGAAAAAGACTGATTTCAGACACCCCCACCATGGCAATTCATTGCACTAAAACACTGGGACAGCTTGAAATCCTTCTTTTCACTCAATTTTCTATGTGGGTTAACTGAGGCACATTGAAATTAAGTGACCTGCCCACAGTCATCCACAGCCAAATCGGATTATCATTGAAGTAAATACAAGTTTTGCCACTGACTTCAAAAGCAGCCGCATATGGTCCTATATGAGTGTTTCAGAAGTGATGATAAGCCATTATTCTCTTGGCGTCCACTCCTTTTTTTCCTATGAATGAGAATAGCTGTGGGTTCAACAGGGAAAGTTTATAAGCTACATTGTCTACAGTAAGAATTGGCAACTGTCCAGACAGAGAGGTGTCCTCAGGCAACATTTTGTTATGTCTTATTTATCTTATGAGAGAGAAATTTTGCTTAATCACCATTTGGTACTGTGTTTAAAATGGCAAT